CTGATTGCATTCAAACTTCACACATACATCATACATAAAATAACATTTTCAGAGTACATTTAATTTTCACATTATTTCTTCAGGATCGATGCTACTAGAGAAATGTGTAATCTTCTGAAAGACCATACATCAAAGGTGCAAGAGAAATTATCAGTATGTAAGAAATCTAAAGATGATTTGGAAATACAAAACAAAGAAAATATGGAACACTTCCAGGTAAACAACTTCTTTTAGTAAAATATTTCATTTTAAGAAACATGAAATATAACTTTAAATTGAAAACACTCGTTGGTAACATTGGAAAAATTCTACAAATGAACTAATGTCAGTATAGTCAGAATGCAGAATAAATGTATTTTCACTGAAATTACTAATTTTTGCTAGTACTCATGATTATTCAACCTTACTAGATTTGCTGTAGTCGAAGTGTATATAATAAAATAATAACTTTTAGGTAGCATAAATGGATTTGGTGTATTTGAAAATCTCACCCAAAACAAATTTGTTGTCTTATGTGCTACTGTTTAGAGCAAATCAGGCATAGTAAACCAGTCCATGCTCTGTTTTGTTTTTAACAGTAAGTTTTAAATGAAACAATACAACATGCAATTTTGTTAATTTCAGGAATTATCAGAACAATTCAAGACTTTAACATTGAACCACAATAATATGGTAAATGACCTTTCTACAAAAAGTAAGTACATGTATGTGTATTATTAAAATAATCAATCAGGTGGCATGGATTTTATTTATTTAATTAGCACTGTGTTTTGAATCTGACATTGCGTTTCCTGTCACAAGAGTGATTACAATTGACAATAACAATCAATTAAGAAAACAAGGAAACCCATTAGGTTAGGAACCTATTGCCTAAGTCAACTTCATTCACCATCACAAAATAAAACCCACATAATGTTTTCCATATTTTTTACCAAACATTTATCAATACTTTTAGCCAATAGTAAATTATGTCCAAATTATGGTACAAAATGTAAAAAAAATATAACTATAGAAAAATGAATAAAAACAGTCAAAAAAATGATGGCACTCAAAGGGTTAATGTGCATGTGTTAAATATCCAATTAGTCTTACATAATTGTATATGTATGATATGTATTGTATTGTATTACATACCTCAATGTTGTTGTCATGGCAGTAAGTGATGTACAAGAGGAAAATAGCAAAATAAAAGAAGAGGCCCATCTTCAGGAGATTCAGATGAAAGAGAAGGTAATTGTTTTTTTGTATGACAAATTTACAATTATATTTATTTTCTTTGCAACATGGTTATAGCCTGGGTTCTTGTGTTCATTAGGAATTCAGATACAATATCTGGGTTTTAATAACTTTAAACTTGTACAAAATATTATCACAGTACTAGCTTTATATCAGGTTGAGTAAAATTTATAATGTACATGAAATTTTGGTGTCAAGTTTGCACATTTTTTTTTTTATTTTGAACAAAACAGGCTTAATTTTCATGTTGCTGCAGTTCTTGTTAAAAAATATGCAAAAAAATTGTTGGTTATTTTGTGAAATGTGTCAAAAGTTCACTTCAGCATTCAAGGGGTAATATATATGTTGCTAGTCATTTTTGTCACTCTAAGTAGTAATCTTGTAGATTACAATATGTCGCAAACACTTTAATGCCTCTAAGCTGGTGAATGATTTTATCATGAAAATGCAATGGTGATATTACTAAATGGATGTTATACATGACCAGGTTGTATTGTAAACTGGAAACTTGTCACAAATACACAAAAAAAACATTCATAAATGAAACTAAACAATTTTCTCAGTCTCACATATTCACTATAGACTGTTATGACAGATCTGGTATGTAGGGACAAGATACAAATGTAAGCATATAGTCTAACATCAACAATTCTGCATTATTACTTCATGTACAGTATGAACTTCTGAAAGCGGAGTTAATCAACAAAGACCAGAAAATCAGTGAAATAAATGAGCAACTGGAGTTAAAAAAAGAACAAATCAGTAAACTGCAAGATACATCAGGTATAAAAATTACTTCAGTCACAGCATTCTGTATAAATTGGGCTTCAAGCTATGGAATATGATATCATTTTTTTCTACTTTAACAGTATAATTAAAACAGAAAGTACAAAATATGATATAATTTGTTGTTTTAACTTTAACTGTTTTAACAGCATCATTAGAACAGAAACTGGCTGATTCTGAAAGTTTAACTGATATGCAAAAGAATGAACTAATAGAAGCACACAACCAAATAGAAGAAAGAAAAGAAGATATAACCAAGTTGCAAGATGTAAAGGTATGATTTGCTCATACACATGTACATGAATGAACGATTGAAGAAAAAATTAGAAATTCATCTTGTTTTAGGGTTTTATGTTTCTTCATAGATCAATGCAACTTTGGATGGTGGTTCTTGTATAGAATTATTAATTATTAATCAGTTTGATGGACCTTTTGTTCTTTTCAGCTTGGATTAGAAGATACTGTAAATGAACTTAGAGACAATATAATGGAACTGGCTTCTGCAAGAGATAAATTGTGTGAAAGTATGAAAGAATTCAACAAGACATCTTCAGAAAAACAGGTATGTAGGAAACTCTATGCACGTCCTTGCCATTTGAACAATTCCTGACTTTTGGCAAAATTCCAATTGCTTGTGGGATATAAGATGTAATGTGTCACAAAAATATACTGCATTCCACCTTTGATTTTAGTGCCAAGTGACCTCAAATAAACGCTGCTATGTTTTGAGTGTAATATATTGGTCAACCAGTATTCCATAAATTCCAACAATATAACCATACAATTTAAAAAAACACAAAAAAAACAAAAACAGGAGAGGTTTACTGTTTACAGTTATCGCAGGGCTGTATGGAAAACATAAAAGTTTCCTCCCCAAATGCCCCCTATAGTTAATTTTTCAAAATCCTTGGCAAAATCCAATATGGACTACAAAATAGTTTTACCTTTATATTTTAAAAAAGACCAGGTTCCTGATTAATCAGCCAAATTTGGGGCAGCTTCAAAGGGGTGGGTGCTTCAGCAAACTTAAACGCTAAGTCGATTAAATATGTTATGTCATTGGTATGATGTTCTTCCTACCCATCATATTTTAATAATGCCTGTGTTGTAATGTTAATAAAAATAATCTATAAATTGGTATAATCTTTGTTTAAGTGTGAACTTTCTCAAGTGCAAGAAGAATTGAACAAAGCTAAAGAATACTACGAAAAAGAAAAAAAGCATGATACAGTTTTCATTGCCCAACTTGAAGCCCAGCAGCATCAACTTCAGGTTTGTAAAAGTCCATTCAGCACACTTTTATAATGACGAAAAAGAAATGATCCCAAAAAATATGCATGTTTTATTACAATATTATTTACATACCATAAGAATTTGAATGATGTAAAATTATTAGGGTCTGTATGATAACAGTCAAAGTAAAGCTTGTCATCATTATCGTCATTGATTGCTTTTAATTGTACGCAAACTCTTGCTGCAAAGCAATTCCCGCCATAATGTTTTCTCGCAAGACTGGACCTGCACCATTGTCTTTTGACCTGATAGGTTAAGTCTGTTATTAACCAATCAAAATGCAGTGTTGTACAAATGTGCCAACACAATTCTCTGGGAATTTCCAAAGACATTCTGGTAATGTTGTGCAGAAGTGTATCATAGATGTCAAAGTACAACCTGTTGGAATTGATTTTGGCAAAAAAATGGCATGATTTTTTTAAAAATAGGGTAAATGATTAGCAATTTTTAAAAGGTATTTACTGCTCTTCACAGTTGTTAAGAGTTCGTTGTTGAAGCACAGTTTACGCTCAGTTACCATGGTCTTACCGTCTATACATTCACATGATATTCACAGTGATCGATATCAA